AACCACTGTGCTACCCTACTCTGCATTTCCTAGGAATCTGTTCAATAGGCAAATAAAGATAAATATATTGCTTTACCTTTGTAAGGCTTTTAAGATGAATTCACAAGTCAGGGGAAAAAAAATCCTTTAACGGTAATTCTTTGGAGAATTTAGAAAATGTGGTCACCAGGATACAGGCAATCATGTTTTAGAAGGAGAAAAGATTTTTTAGCTCTGCATGGCATCTAGAGAGGGAGCTGAGAAGAAAGGACGTGTCCGTGTGTCTCCAGGGCTGCCCAGGGAAAAGGAGCTTCACTGAAGTCTACAGCCCCCAGTGATTAGACAGAAATAGCCCAGCCCTAGAGAAAGTCATCCCTACACTGACTGGGTCTAGAGGAAGCAGGTTATAAAACACTGTTTCCCAAAACGCAGTCCTTGGACTTCCCACAACAGAACATCTCGGGATTTTATTAAAAATGTTGATTTAGGACCTCACCCTGAACGCATGATCAGAATCTCTCAGAAAAGAATAGAAGGGGCATAACCCAAAATGCTGAATTTTTAACAAGCTTCTCAGGTGTTCTGATTACAACGAAGTTTGGAATTCTCGGCCATAAAAATCTGACAGCTGTATTTGCTGTGAGAATCTGTGCACTGTGCAACCTTGGGAAATAGCACTCAGCCACTGAATAAAGGATGAGTTACAGCCCAGCCCAGTTCCATGACCAATTTTAATCTGATACTACTATAACTTAATAATGGCAATAATGACAACTACCAATTACTGAGCATTTACTACATGCCAGACACTGCTGAGTGTTTTACTAATCTTATTTATGGTAACTCTCACATACCCCTGTGCTGGACTTAACATCGACCTTGTTTTGCAGAGGGTGAAATTCAGGCTGGAAGATGGGTGACTATATCAGGGTTACAGAAAGCGAGCAGCAGAGGCAGAATTCAAACCCAATCTAACACCTTGACCCCTCTGGCTCTGAGCTCAAAGTCAGTGCTGCAGGCAGCCCGCCCTGCCATCACCATCCCCAGGGCTATGATGGGGCTGGGAAGTCCACTCCCTGAGGAAGGCCAGGGTGTCCTTTCCTTGGCAGGGAGCAGTGGCTGGAGCAGGGCTACTCTTTCTGCTGCACGTTGATTTCAGCTGATCACCAGGTGTGTCTGTCCTAAACATGGACAACAGCCAACATGCTGGGCTGACTCCAGCTCCCAGAGACCTGGGCCTCAGGGTGGGAGACACCAGCACACCATAAGCACCTTGTGGCCTCAGCAACTGGGGCAAACTTTTCCTTGCTTGCACCAACAACCTGATAGCTCTCATGCCCATGGGTCCCTCTCAGGGGCCTCATCAGCAGCTTTCTTCTGGGAATGAAGCACAGGCTGACCTGAGAGTGAGTCTTCCCTTCCTAGGGGTGCCTCCCGGAGCTCTGGTTAACCAGTCCGTAAATGGGGACCTTAATGGGGCCTCACTGGGTCTTTGGAAGGATTAAGTGAGGAGCCATCTGGGAACACCTGGCCTGAGAGCCAGCACATTGCAGGCCTGCTGACCTCCCTCCTTACTCCTGAGGCTGCCGTCTTTAATTTCAGGGCTGTGGTTCCCTTCTGCACAGCACTGCCTGGCCTCCTGCCCCAGCCCTCAGAGATCCCAGTAGAAGACGCTTTGCCAACAGGGGTGCCCCCCAGATTCCTGGGGGCTGTGGGCCTCCCTGTCCACTCAGCCCCAGGATGTAGGCATCTCCAGAGCAGGGCCCTAACTGTCTTGTTCTCTGTGACATCTTTGGGCTAGAGGAATGCCTGGCAGGGAGCAGGCACTAATGTCTGCTGAATGAGCTAATCTAGTCACTGAACAAATGGGAATTGTGCAGTTGCTTTGTGCGGCTCCAGTGCAGAGGACAAACGCATCTGGAGCACAGGGCTCTGCCCTCAGATCTGACATCCATCCAAGCCTCCCTCTCAAGGGCCCGATGCCAGTAAGGCCCCCTTCCCAGCCCCCACCCCTCTACTGCCCCAAAGCATGGCTAGCAGCCTTGAAGCCACACTGCCTCCTCTACATTACTCCCTTCAGCCAAGCCTTCCAGAGAAAGATGCTCAGACCACCCTCTCCTTCTGGAACTTTTCATGTGAGTCTAGGGCACAAGCCAAGCCCAGAGACCTCTCCTGTCGAGTGAGCAGGTTGCTGTCCCTCAGCCTGGCCACCCTTCCACAGAGCTGTCCTGACATACCTCACTGCCCACAACCTCCAGCAGGAGAACCACAGGCAAAGCAAGAGCAGAACCCAGCAGGAGCTTCAGGCCCACCCCTCAGAAAGCGCCGGAGACTTTGCTGCAAATGTGAAAGAGCCAACTAACCGCAATGTTGAATTGCTGGGAACGCAGAGGGAAGCTGCCCACTGGGGAGGCTGCGGAGGGTTCCATGCACCCACTCCCCACCCACCAACTAATGTGTCCATCTCAACCACTTTAAGCTTACTTACTGACCATTAAAGACTTTACCCAAAGGCTGGAAAAAAGGCTGTGGCTGGGCCCTGGAAAGCAAAGCAAAACAAAGCAAACCCTTAGCACCAAAGTGCTGGAAAGTGCTGTCAAAAGCGGATGGATCAGAAACAAAGAAGAAAGGGCTCTTAAACAATAAAGGAAGTCAAAGGCAAACTGGGATTTGCTTTACACAAATGCGATATGTGGTTTCCAGGCACAGTGCCTTGCAGGGGTAAAGGGCATCTGGATTTCCAGTACCAAAGGGAGAGAGAGAGACAAGGAGCACCACATGGTACCCCGATGCCAGTCTGGCACTTGCAGCCTGGCCTCTGGGCTGGCTCCCCACCGCCACCCACTACCACCTCTCTGGGCCTCAGTTTCCATTTTTAAAAACTGAAAGCATTGGACTGGATTATTCTAAACATATTTTGTGGTTCTAAAAACTCTTCTCACCTCCATGTCAATATTTTCAAAACAGGGACAGTCAGTTCTGTCTCCTTAGCAAGACATCTCAAAGGCTTAGATGGTGTCCTTGTAACCCTGGCGAAGAGCCCTGGAAGGTACAGGATAATTGTTTCTCTTCCTTGTTGCCATGGAAACTTGTGACTCCTACATCCCTGATGCTAGGACAATAGCCTGCCTGGATGGTTTGGGTTTGTTTTGTCTATACCCACACTGCACGTACTGAAGGGCTGGCAGAGCTGCAGGTGACAGCTTGCCAACAGGAGACACTGCTGTTCCTCATTCCATTACCAAGTTTCATTAGAAACTTTGGAATCATGGCAATCATGAGTGGTTCTGGGGCTGTACTGAGGGGCTCCCAGAATTAGAGCACCCTTTGGCCCTAAAAACTGATCCCTGATCTTGCCTCTGTGAGTTTCCCTTGGCCTGCCCTGCAATTTGGGTGTGATGCTTTGTGATTTTTCCTGCCACTTCTAATGAGATACGCACTCCAAAAAGGCACCCTCAACAAGCGCTGAATGATACGTCATCCCTGTGTGACTCTCTGATCGTGGCAACATATTAGACTCAGTGGAAATGTGTGTCAGACACCAGGTCTTCAAGGACCAAGACAGAAACTGGTAATTGGCAGGAAGGCAGAGGGTGGTGGTGCTGTCTATTCAGAAACTGGGTTGTCAGAGGGAAAATGGGTTAGAAAATGCCCCCAGTGTCTATTAACCCTGTAAAATGCATCCAAATTGCTAAAAGATTTGTGCAATGTTATGATTCTCTTCTTGGATTGTGAGTACTTTGGTAAACAGAAATGGAATCACTTAAAGTGATGCTCCGTTGCTCCTGTTAAAACAGTGGCAAACGATACACTTCGCTGCTTGTCCCACATCCACTTCTTGAACCACAGTGTTCCCCACTGGCTGAGATTAATGGGGATGCCACTATAGCTGTTAATGGTTCTCACTGTCCAACTCTGCACCTACAAGTTCTTTCACCCCCACCCCTCACCAATCAGGGCCAGCCCAGTGCCATCTGAAAAATCGCCTGCGTTTTTATGCACACCTGAGACCCAGAATCATCCCAACTCCTCCACCTCTCTCCCCTCCCATACACAACTAGCCACCAGGGCTTCCTCAAACTCCACTCCCATCACAGCCATTGTCATCATGGCCTCCACCTTCAGCACTTCTTCCCTGTTCTTCAAGTGGTCTCCCAGCCGGGCTCCCAACCTTCAGCGTCATTCCTCCCATCCACCTTTCACCTGCAGCTGGGGTGATCTTTCCAGACCACAAAACTTATCATGCCACTTTCTACTTAAAATTCTTCCATGGCTCTCCAAGGCTTGCAGGATCCAGTCTTAATCCATTCATCTGACATACAAAGCCTTCCTGGGCTGGCACCTCAGCCCCACCCACAAATGCTTCTGGAGCACAGGGTTCTGCCCTCAGATCTGATATCTGATCTCCCTCTCAAGGGCCTGATGCTAGTAAGTTCCCCTTCCCACCCCCACACCCCAGCTGTCCCAAAGCATGGCTAGCAGGCTTGGGGATTCCTCCCTTCAGCCAAGCCTCCCAGAGAAAGATGCTCAGACTACCCTGTCCTTCTGGAACTTTTCATGTGAGCCTAGAGCACAAGCCAAGCCCAGAGGCCTCTTCCGAAGAGTGAGCAGGTTGCTGTCCCTCGGCCTGGCCACCCTCCCAGAGAGCTGTCCTGACACACCTCGCTGCCCACAACCTCCAGCAGGAGAACCACAGGCAAGGCAAGTATAGACATGAGTGGAACCCAGGAGGAGCTTCACCCGCACCCCTCAGAAGATCCCAGAGACCCCACTACAAACGTCAAAGAGCCAACAAACCACGACGTTGAATTGCTGGGAACTCAGAGGGAAGCTGCCCACTGGGGAGGCTCCGAAGGGTTCCATGCACCTGCTCCCCACCCATGAACTAATGCATCCATCTCAATCACTTTAAGCTTACTTACTGACCATTAAAGACTTTGCCCAAAGGCTGGAAAAAAGGCTGTGGCTGGGTCTTAGAAAGCAAAGCAAAACAAAACTGTGGGAAGAGCCCTTCATCTCACTTGTAGATCTAGCCTTTCCCTCAGCCTCTCTCCCTACCAGATGCAGCCAGCCATGGACTGATGCCTCTGGGCTCCCACAGCAACCTGGATCCCTCTCCAGATCACTCCTACTTCCATGTTATCTGCATGTTTCTTTACACATCTGTCTTCACCCTGTATCAGTCATCCCAACAAAGGGCGCAGCGCTGGCACACGCAATTCTTCAGTGAATGAATGAAGAAATCATCACATGCTTCTCACTTTTCACATGGAAAGAATAATTCCTGCCACATCCTTGTTCCAGAAAACAGTCATGCAAACCTCAAAGAAGAAAAACCTAGGTGTCAAAAAGAGAATGTAGAGTAAAGAGGTCAAGAACATTGATTCTGGAGTTAGGCAGCATGGGTTCAAATCTCTACTACTTTCTAGCTGTGTAACCTTGGTCACCTCTCTGCATGTATCACATTTGTATAAAGCAAATTCCAGTTTGCCTTTGAGTTCCTTTATACTAAGAGACCCTTTCTTCGTTATTTCTGATTGATTTGCTTTTGACAGCACTTTCTAACATGTTAGTGCCAAAGTTTTGTTTTGCTTTGCTTTCTAAGCCCCGGCTACAGCCTTTCTTCCAGCCTTTGGGCAAAGTCTTTAATGGTCAGAAAATAAGCTTCAGTGGTTGAGAAGGATCCATTAGTTTGTGGGTGAGGAGCGGGGTACATGGAACCCTCGGCAGCCTTTTCCACTGTGTGGAGAAAGAGTAAATATGACCTTCGCCATAAGGTTGTTGCAGGCACTAATGCACCAGTGTGTCTAAAGTACTTGGGAAGGATCTGGTGCATGGAAAGTGCTTGGTCAGTGTTAGTTACTATTATTAAGGACGCACCAGCTTCCCAGGTCTTTTTGCTTCTACCACTTAGGGAATAGAGCCTGCCAAATGGCTATGTCTTGGATGTTTCTAGAGTCTCATTTCAGGAGGTTGTTAATTCCAGCCAGGCTGATCTGTGATCATTGCAAGTTGTTGTGTGCAGAACCCTCTGAAGGGATCCTTGGGGGTAAATAGAATTTACTTAACCAGGTGTCCACTGTCTTAGCTTCCTTCCCTAACAGCAGGAATCTTTAGTAGGCCACCTTGGCTGAAGTGACAGGAGTGTGATGAGGACAAAGTGGCCTCAATGGAGACCCACCCTGGAACTGGGCCTGCCACCCATTTGAGGTCAGGGATGTCCCTTCTCTGCTACCCTGTCCCCACCATCCTTACCACCCACCAAGGACCTGGCTTCTGCACAGGGCACCACTAACCAAGTCCTGCTGGAGTCTTTCCCACTGTGGGGAAATGGTGCACAGCATGCCAGGGGCCGGGGGTGTGGGGAAGGGCAGGGAAGCATGGAACAGTGGAAAGCGCCTGGCTTCAGCGCCCAGCACATCAGAGCCTCTGCTCCTCCTCTCACCACCCACTGACCTGATGCAAATCCCATCTGTCCCTAGGACCCAGGCTTTTTCATCTGCAAAGTGAGGGGCCAGCTGAGATCACTGACTCCTACCTATATCCCATGCCTGTGTGACATGACTTAGACCCCGAATATGCCACAGTGGGTGGGTGGGTGGGTGGGTGTGATATTGTTCCCATTTCCTCTTCTGGTGCTCTGGGTTCCAGTGGCTTCTGGTAATACTTGCTCTTCCTCACACAGGAAAGGCCTTTCCTGAATGACTTCCTTGCTCCAGGCCCAAGCCAAGAAACCCAAACAATAAAAAGCCAGCCCAGTCCTCTGTCACAATTGCCTACAAACTTAATAAAAATGGATTCCTTGTGCCCTGCAATAGCGTGTACAAGTCTTCCTTGTCAGCACAGAGGGTCCCACGCTGTGCCAGCCCCTCCAGAGGCAAGAAACCAGTGGCAGATGGGTCCAGCCAGGACCCCATAGGTGTGAGAGATCTTGTCCCCTTTGTTCAAGAGGGTATAAATTAGGCTTGGCTCTCGATGGTCTGTCTCAGTGGAAACCAAACACATTGCAGTGAACACTGAGGGGACCCAACCCCCAGTACACGCAAGTAGCAGCAAATGTACCTTGGGAGCCAGGAGTGCTAGATTCTGCTGACTTATATTCAGAAATGGACCGTCTCTATCATTAACAACGAAACATTCTGATACCTGCAAAAGTCCTTCTGTGCTAGTCACTATGCTAAGCATTTAGGGTGCATTAAGTCATATAATTTGTTTATTCAATCAAAAATTTAGTGAGCACTTGGCAGATGCTGGAAGCCATGCTGTGTACTGGGCACAGTGGGAAGCACCCAGACAGGGCGCCCGCTCTTAAAAAGTCAACAGTCAAGCACCATGATTCTTTTTTTTTCAACTTTAAGTTCTGGGATACATGTGCAGAACGTGCAGGTTTGTTACATAGGTATACACGGGCCATGGTGTTTTGCTGCACCCATCAACCCATCATTTAGGTTTTAAGCCTCACATGCATTAGGTATTTGTCCTAAAGGCATCATGATTCTTGAACTTGGGTGTGCATGCTATGAAAATCACCTGGGCACACCCTCCAACCAGAATCTTCACTTTCCTCAACTGCCTCATCCCTAATTCACACTCTGAAGCACTGGGCCGGTGCTATGGAAGAAATCTATTACTTTGCTCAGATGAGAAAACTGAAGTCCAGAGAGGCAAAGTAACTTGCACTAGGCCACACAATTTATAAGGGGCACAGTTGGGATAGGATCCCTGCTCTACCTGGTTTCAGAGGCAAAGCTCGTAATTACTACACTATCCTGCCTTCCTGAACCTCATCCAAATAATCAGAGCAATATTTACAGGGTATCAGATCATTCCATTGCTGTGCCATCTTTACAACTACCCAACCATGTGAGGTAGAAAGTATGACTCTCATCCCATTTTACAGACGATAAAAGGGAGCTCAGAGACTTAATGCAACTTGCTCAAGTTCACATGAATAGCAGGCCCCAGTGCCAACATTCAAAGTCAGACTTGACCAATTGCACAGCTTCTGCTTTTTCCAATGTTCCATGCTGCTTCTTTGAAGGCTGTTTCATAAAGGTAAAGAGCAATGAGATAAAAAAGCAACAACTGAAACCAGCCTTATCCTAAAGGGAAGAACAAAAATGCAGATATTCTGCTAGCAGGCAAGGACTCAGGAAAGAGAAATTCCTTTTCCCATGGCCTCTGAGTCACCTGTGCCCCCAGGAGCCAAACCCAGTGATGGGAAATTCCAAGCTGTGCGTCTATGTGCAGTCATGTGGGTATACACCTACCACCTTACATGCGCCATGTGTGCAGGCCACATTCAGATAAGCATGTGCACGGTGTATCCATGCCACACTCCCTGAAATCCTGGCTCATCCCTCAGAAAAAGTCACCTTGTTGGCAGGTGGTCCTCCACCATCCCAAGTAGCAGTTGCCACAGGACTAAAAAACCACCAGAAAGGGTTTTGCAATCAAAAGAGGCTTTAGCAGCTAGAGTGCATGTGTAAAGGTCAGTCTTTCACTCAGGGGACAGCCAAGCCAGGGGAAGGAACAGAAGGGGAGGCTGGAGAAGCTCCCTGGGAGGTAGTATTTGAAATTCTGCATTGCCCTGAGCCACCTGCAGAGATGCAGTGCCCAAGGGAAGGCCTGATTCCCAGGGGGAATGTGGTCATTTTGTGTGCATCAAAATGACAAGCACTTCTGTGCAAAGCATCAACTAGCTGCAAGGAAAAAGATGCGGTGGGGAGCACATCACAGCACCCAGAAAAGAACAGAGCTAACTTCTCCAGGAACCGAGACACCATGGGGAAGTCCCCAGCTTTCCAACATTAGCAAACAAGCAGGATCGGGCCCATCTTCTCCCCTAGCCCTCAGCCAAGCTACCAGTGCGAATTCCTTTCCCAGGCATCCATGACACAGCCTGAGCCCTGGTATCCCTGAGAAGGCTTACAGGTTCAAAGTGAGCCAGTTGTTTGAGCCACCCTTGAGCCACATCCTATTTGGAAGACGGGGTGCACCAGGAGGAGGCCCAGCCAGCCCATCTGCCTTCATGGACACCCACTCCACCTCCACACCCCTGTCAACCCAGCCAGGACCTAAGGTCATCGACCTGCTGTGGCATTCTCCCCATGCACTAGATCCTGCTGCTGCCTCTTCATTCTCTCCACTTCTATCTTCCACTCTCTGTACCAACCACGCCCACCTGACTGCCTAAGGCTCTGTCACATCATCTCTTGCCTACATTTGAGGACATCCCGGTGCTCACCATCTCAGAACCTACAATCCCTTCTCTGTAGTCCCCTACAAATCAGATTCTGCCACTGCAATGCTGTAAATGGTATGATGGCTCCCACTGCTCACTGGATAAACCCCAAACCTTGACTGCACCTTCAAAGCCCTTCCTAACCTAGGTCCAGCCAACCCACCTGGTATTATCTACTGTCCACATCCTCTGACCTCTAGCCATACAAATACACCTATTCCCCAAACAGGCCTTGGCATCTACTGCAGTGGATACCCTGAATGCTAACGATGTCTTCCAGGTTTCTCATCCCTCCACAGAGCAGGCACTCAGATACATTTTTTGTCAGATGGATGGATGGGTGGCTGGGTGGGTAGATGAGTAAGTAGATGGGAGGATGTGAAAGGATGAAGGTGGATGGATAGGGAGTATTTTTTTTTTTTTTTTTTTTTTTACTCTTGTCATTTTCATCTGATGCCTCTCTGGAAGGCGGACAGCCTGACCAGACATTTTCAAACACAAAGGCAGCTTGGCTGCTACTTTTAAACTGATTAATATGAAGGATGGGAATAACAACGCCTATGTTGAAGAGCTGTTGTGAGGATTAAATGAGAAAGTATTCAGCCTTGTGCATACACATAGCAGGTACACAATAAATGATAGCCACTGCTGTTGGAACGAGGTCCTAACAACATGTGGGTTCCTTTGCCTTCCAATGTGCAGGACCCAGGTCCTCTGGCTTCTCCTGGTTCTGGGTGAGACAGAGCTTTCCTGAAGGCTGGAGTGAAGGGTAGGGGTGGAGGTGGCCACAGAGGAGTTCCTGACCTACTTTGTGCAATTTCAGGCTCAGGCAAGGCCCCTAGACAATGAGTGATGCAAAGAGCATTCAGAGCCGGCTGCAAATAATAAGGCCTGGGGGACCAGGAACTCGGGATGGCTCTTTTCAGCATGGCCTGTTCAGCCTGATGCCCAGGGCTCTTCCCTAGCCTCTGGCAATGCCCATGGCCTGGGCCTCTACGAAGTTGCCAGGCATGCCTCCCTCCCCACAAACAAAGGAAGGCAGCCCCCGTCATCTAGGCATCAGGAAGCCCCTCAATACGCATTCAGAAAGGCACCAAGAATTAAGACAAGCATTCCCCACAGGACGTGCTTGCCCAAGCAATCCCCTGCCGAGACCCTGCTACCACGAATCTTAGAGTTCCAAGCAGTCTCCCTGAATCCATACATTCTCTTCTGTTCCATCCTCTACAGCGCAATTGGGGTGAGCAGTATTAACATAGAACTGATCCTATCCCTCCCCAGCTTAAAATCCATTCAATTCTTCCCTAGGAAGTCCAAATCCCTTAGCCTGGCATTCAAGGCAGCTCTTTCAGCTCCATGCTCCTTCACACTGACAGGCCCTTGCATGTGCCATTCCCTCTGCTTGGAACTCCCAAGATGCTCGGAGAGTAAATGACAGAGCCAGGACTCCAGACCCTATCTTCTGACCCTGGGTTCCACACTTATTTGGTGGAAAGAGCTTGGGGATTCCAGAATAGCCCTACCTCATGATGCAGAGATGCCAGGACAGACCTTTACCATCTCTCACTTCCCAGAGTTTCTAAATTTGCCGTCATTTCAAATCACTATGTGACACTGTGAATGGCCACTGGTTGAACAAATAGAGCCAGCACAGGCTGCAACCTGCATCTCCAAAAGTTGGGAGTTGGGGAGAGATAGCAAGGGGAGGGATGCCAGATGTAGGTGATGGGGAGGAAGGCAGCAAATCACACTGCCATGTGTGTACCTATGCAACAATCTTGCATGTTCTTCACATGTACCCCCAAACCTAAAATGCAATAAAATAAATAAATGGAAAAAAAAATTTGAATGGCTCAGCTGCAAAAGAAAGCACAAGCTGACATTTCTAACCAATCTCATCCTTGCCCTCAGTTCCTGTGCACTGCATGGAACACCCTAGCGGGGCTGCAGTAGGCAGAGGAAAGAGAGAGAGGCAGCCTCTGTCATCCCAAGCCACAAGGAAACATCTTCCCAACACCCATTCAGAAGGCATCAAGCACTAAGACAAAGCTGCTCCAATCAACACAAAGACCTGCTTCTCCCAGCCAGCCTCTGATCCCTGCCACTGTGCTCACAGGAACTTCTCCACAGCCTCCACTCCCTCTGACATCTGAACATCCTGGGGTCCCTGGGCCAGAGCCTCCCCATTTGCCAGAGGGAGGGCCTCTGTAGGCCTCCTGCCTGTCTGCAAGAATCGTCCGCTCCTCTCCATCAATAATGACTTTGCACATCTAAACAAGTTCTGGATGCAGTAAGCCTTGGGCACACAAGAATAAGCACATGCACAATTTATCACTTTTCCCAGCTTGACCACTCCATTTTTGCAGGCTAAAAGTTTCTTATCCAAGGCAGTACATGTAAATTCAATGAACAGATCTCTATGCTGGTCACAGAACATTCAACACAAATTCAGATCTTCTTCGCTAATCACAATAGATGTTTTCCTGGTGAACAACAGATGCCTCATCTACACTTTCACTCATACTAATGCACTTCATATTGGCCGTCATGGCAGAGACTGCTAGTTAGAACACCCAAATGATGGCTGGACACATGGCTTCCCAGAAAGAAGACTACATTTCCCAGCTTCCCTTAAATCTAGGCGTGCCTATGTAATATAGTATGGACAATAGGATGTAAGAGAAAGTGGTATATGTAACTTCTTAGAATTGTCCTTAAAGAGAAGGGCTATCTGCTTCTCCATCCTCCTTCTTGCTGGCTAGAATGCATACATAATGACTGGAACTGCAGCAGCCGTTTCGGACCACAAATCAGAAAGCCCAGGTTGAGGACGACCACAACAAGCTAAAAAGGGCCCAGGCCTGTGATCCTGGAGCTGGACCAGTCCCAGACTGCTTAACTCCAGACTCCTTGAATTTGAGAGAGAAATGCACTTCTATCTGGTGTAAGCCACCATTATATCGTCCCTGCTGCTAAACCTAATTCTAATTGATATGGCAGATGACCTAAAAAGGCTTGGTATGCACTTCCAGGCATCTTCGTCTGTATCAGTGCCAAACACTGCTCATGAGACCATTCTGTCCCACACGCTTGGGCCTTTTTAAGGGGCTGCTTCCAACCAAATGGAATGGTTGGCCGCAGTCCTTCATGAGAAGTTGGCACTGGCACAGGCTACCTTGGTCCTTGAGTCCTTCTCCACCCTTCTATCTGGCCTGACCTTCCAGTCTGATTTCCACTGGCTAGCTTTTCTGGCCTACAACTCCTTCCCATTATCCCCATTTTCTCCCCCACGTTACATACAGGGAGTGTTTATTTCAAGTGGCGGTTTCAAGGTAACCTTCTTTGAACTGTTCTAGCTACAACCCTACTGGCTGGGCTGGGACCCTAAGCATTGCCCTTCCCTGCCCTGACACTATGGAGGAGAGCCTCACCCACACAAATAGCTTTGAAGACTTGCCCCCTTCCTTATTCAGCCTACACCCGAAGAAGGGTGGAGGAGGGGAGGAAGGCATGCTGGGAAAACGAAGTCAAGAGTCTCTCCTGGTTGATTTGCTTTCTCAAAAAGTCCAGCTGCCAGCCACCAGACCTGGCCACTGGAGCCCACTGGAGCTGAGGAAGGCTCACATTATACAGTCGCAGATGCCATTGAAAAGGCAGCCTGTGCCTGCAGGATAGGACTCTGATGGCAGCCCTAGAGAGCGGAGAATCAAGCAGCATTACAGGGTGTTACAAACCAATGCATCCAGCAGGCAAGACACAGGAGCAGGGATTACTCAGCTCTGAGCCCCTGCAGAGAACAGGCACCAGTTGTCCCAGTCCAGGCGGAAGCACAGGGTACAGCGTCTAGACCACAATGATAGCTTCCATCCCTCCCTGGGATCCAATCTCCTGGATGAGCAGGTTGATAACTCCTCTTCCCCAAAGGCTTCCATGCTTTAGACCTCTCAGGGGATGTCAAGGCAGTCCCACGCCCACAGTGTTCCAACTGGACACGTTGAATTTTAGCACTCTGCAACTGAGGAACCTTGGCCAACCCCTGTGCCATGTGAGGCCCAGGACTGTGTAACCCCCATCCCTATCCATTCAGAAGAGTCACACAGGGCTCTTCTGAAAGCCTTTCTTTTCTCTCCTCACGACCTGCCTCTTTCTGTCTAACTGGCCATCATTTAGAAATAAAGCATTTCCAAAGTTTCCCTAGATCCTCAGATTACAAGCACATAGTATACTCACTGACACGAGAAAGGTAAGGACCACAGGAGTCCCATGCCATGGGAGGGTGCCGTCTGGAGCACCATCTAGCAGAACTTTCTGCAATGGAAATGGTGTAGATCTGCGCTGTTCAAGATGGTAGCCACCCAACCTTATGTGGCTATTGAGCTCTTGAAATGTGGCTAGTACAGCAGAGGAGCTGAGTGCTAATTTTCTTTAATTTCACTTAATGTAAACATGAGTGGCTACCATCTTGAATACTGTAGTTCCAGGGGAGTTACACAAATAAGCCAATGGTTGCCCTAATAGAGATTTGTTATTGCAACAAGCAGCATGGAGGGGAGGAGCAACGCACAGTGAGGCTGTGCAGAGGGGGAATCTCACCTTTCCTGGGGAAGCGGGAACCTCACTCTGAAGTAGTCATGTTTTTGCGGGTCATCCAACTTTGGATATAAAACTGAAACTATAGACAGGACAAAAAAAAAAAAAAAACCAAAAGGAAATAACTGAAAACATTTCTCAGATACTCTATAACAAGCTCATTTTATTTATATAAAGAATAAACTTCTTTTAAGTGGGTCAACCTAATACTCTATATTTCTCTCTGAGGAAAATTAAACTAAATAAAGTTGCTATACTTATATGTGGGCCAAACCTGATTTTTTTTCTTATGCAACAGAGGTCTGTCATTGAACAAAGTGTTCCTCACCCTCCCTCATGGAAAAGGACAAGTTGGCATTAAGACCACTGCCTTAGCCTGCCCTCTTCAAACCCGTGACTTCTTTTCCACCATCAGAACCCCTAGGGCTTGAGGTCATCCCTGCAGTCATGGAGCAGAAACAGATTCCCAAAGCCCAGAAATTTCTAAGAACTTTGGCATCTTTGAGCTTTCTTGAAATCAAGGGTTCAGTGGCCTTAATTTCAGACTGGGTGGCTGTTACAGCCTACTCCCATGGAGAGAACAAAGCAGGGTGAAGGCTTCAGGAAAGTCGGGAGAGCCAACCAGGAGAGTGTTACCAACCACCAGGTAACTGCCCACTTCCTGGGCTGCAACAAGAACTTTTAAAAAGGAAAACGATAATGTATTCACTGAAAAGAAGGAAAGGAGAAAGCAGCCATAGATCCTCTGCAGACACACGTCTTCACCAAGAGGCAGGGTTTCCAGGCAGTGAGTCATACGTGTGAGAAT